ACACTATCAAACTTGCAGGCTTACAGAGTCAGTCCCTGTACTGAAAATGCCAGAAGGAAAACATATTCTGTACCCAATAAATCATATACCTTAGCAATGGCCAAAATAGTCTCTTCAATTTTGTCATTTCCAGTCTGAAACAAGTGTGGCTGTTTCTCTCTATTCGTATATTACTCTTATCATCAGAATTATGATATACAAAGCAATATACATCAAATGTATAGCTAGCACCTCAATTTCTACATAAGTTCATCCAGTGAATAAATTATGGAATGGAAAGTCTACTCTGAAGCCCATGCAACAAGCTGCCACCCAAATCAGTGAAAAGAAAGAAGAAAAAAAAAATATAAAACCATTTATAATATTTCAGCAAAGTATTCTATAGAACTGGAAAATATGAGATAAACATCTCCCAAACACTTTAATGGGTTAACTGGCTCTGTTGAGGGCAAGGGAACCCAGCAGATTTTCATCAGCTGAGAGCCTATGCCAAAGTTTTCTGATTTTTTAAATTCTGGCATGAACCTGTTTTCCTTTGGTATTTGTCTATTCCTGGCATATGTCCCCCATTCCTTTTATGAACAATAAATCAAAGAAAACATTTAATACTTCTGAAGTGTCTACCTCTCAATAAATTATCCTTCTATTCTGTTTGAGGCACTGCTGCCTCCTTCAGTGACCTCCCATTCCTTAGATACTAGAAAAATGCCTTAATATATATATAAACTTTTCTGTGATTCTCATTTCCTGTTTTCACCTTTGCATTCATCATAATTTTTTTGTGAAATTCATTTTCTAATACTCCCAGATCTCTCTCATACCTGGGTGTTTTGTACCTCACATATGCCTGTGTCTCAACCCTTAATTACTTTTTCACATCTTTATTTACCCACACTGACTTTTTTACTTTCTAGTGTATATATTCCTGGATAAGACACGTAACCCTTGGCCACACATTAATTTATCATTGCACATTTTCCATTTCCCTTCTGTGGCCTTTGTACAAAATTCAATTACTTTATTCCATTGGATTTCAACCAAATCTTACCATATGTTTTCAAATTTCTTCCTCTGAATTTCAGCAACTTATCACCAACCATTTAGCTCTGACTTTATTATTAATGATAAAATCTGGGTTCCAAATATGTAGCCAGTTACACATACTCAGATGCACACAAATTTTCTTTCCAAAGGTCCATACTGTGCAGCAGGCTGGGAGCCCTGTCAGTGGAGCTCTACACCTACTCAGACTCACACACAGTTGGAGAACGGAGGGCCTACTGAATTCTGGATTTTTGTCAAGTTTTCACTGGGCATATTCTGGAATTTGATCAACACATAGGACTTATTCATAAGTGAATAGTATGTTTAATTAATTTCACTTCCTATTCTGTTCAAGAAAATAGTATTTTTTATTAGTTAGCTCCTTTTCCATCTATGAAATACATGCACTGTCCCCTCAAACATAGCCAAACATTTTATATTTTTGGATTTCTGTTTAAGTTGTGGAGTCAAACAGTGAGCAGTCATGAGCCTGCTGGCACCATTTCTGTGTTGCTGTTGGATGGCTGTGGCCCTTGTGATTGGGCTTCCTAGTAAAAGCAGCTGCTTTTAAAGGTCTTTTTCAATGAGCAGTGGAGCCAGTAAGACTAAACCAGACTTGCAGAGTTCAAGGTCAAAGAGGATGCAATCACAGACAAATATATGGACTATGAAAACATAAATCAATAATTACCAAAAATTATTTGTAGCGAAGTTTGCCAGCATTATCCAGAGCAATTAAAGTATTGACCACTTATGACAGCACTTCCACAAACAGATTTTTTAGGCCAATTGAAAATGAATCCTTTTCAAATTCCTGGCCAAACTGAAAAATAAATACATATTGTTTCTACTTGGTCTATATACCTTTGTCCAGCTATAAGTTCAAAGTCTATGAAAGACAAGTAGTGCCATTTCCTGGAACAGAAAGATCTGAGTAACAGCTATCTGCTGAGTATTAATGCTGAAACAAGGGAGTTGGCTTGGGATCTGAAGCTCCCCTTACCTGGCAGAAAACTTTCTTTTTGGGATAGATTTTGTGGCTTTTTTGTGATTGCCTGCAGGTAAGAAAGATCAACTAAATACAGCTAAATAATTCAGAAAATCAGCCTTAAGATGATTCAGATAGGGCATTCAGAAAGCAAGGTACAAGGGTTCAGGATTTATTTTGCATAACTTGCTGAGCTGATAGCTATTCCCAGTCACAGAACTCATTATGCTAAGCTTTGGTAGGTTTCATCTTTGCCATCTTTTTTCCCACAGTCTTAATTTCTCAGCTCTCTCAGCCTGTTGCTTTGTCACAAAGACTCTAAGGTCTCTGGCATGTTGCTGCAACCTCTGGTACAACAGGAAGCCCTCGGTAAGCAGAGCTCCACAGGGTACTTTCATGCAGAGAAGTAACACTGGGTTAAATTATATGTGTAAAAGCTAGCAGAACTCTGGAAGAATTCAGCAGCGGTAGGGCTTGTGCAGAGGCAGAGGAAGTTGCACCACCCATGTAAGATGTGACACTTCCAGAGGCTTTGGCAGGACTCCGCTCTGCGTATCTGCTACACAGATGCAAATGCACAGCACATGCTTCTCTGTAGAGCTGTTAGCCACTGCTGCTGCAGTGCACCAAGAGGGTTATTGGGCAGAAAGGATCACTTCACAAGACTTGTCAGTTGTGAGGAAACGCCGTCTCATTGTGTGGACTCGCTCTTGTCTGCACACCTATGTTCAGGATATTTAATGTGCTGAGAAGCAGACACTGTCTGAAACACCCACCATACGCAGATCTTGAAACGGAGTTTCAAGTAAGATCTTATTTGTGCATTTCAGTGCTTGTTAATCATATTCATTCACATTCCTAGCAGGCATATGGGGAGAGTCTATACAGAAGCCAGCCAAGAGGAAGAAGCAACTAAAATAAACAGATGGGTGGACAGGGAGGAAATAATATTAAGTAGTTAAACACATAATATAGTGTCTGGAGAGAAAAATAAAAGGGCTAAGAAAAAAATATCAGGGAAGAACACTTCTCTCCTTCCTTACAACACACGCAGAGCAAGTGATAAAGGCTTTTGGGGGAAAATGCTGTGTCTGTAAACAAATAAAGAGATTTTAAAGATTAATATAGAGACCTTAGCAGCACATGTAGAGCAGGCAATCTCCATTTTGTGTTACACTGGAATAAATAAAAATAACTATATTGTCCTCTAGTGAGGTTCTTCTAGATTTACACTACATAATTGAAAGCAGAATCTGGCCCAGAAAGAGGATTATTGAATTTAACCAAAACATTATGATGAAGTGAAAAATCAACAGAGGCTAAAATAGTGATGGATATAAACTCCAGCTGGTCAAATAATGAAAGGCAGATTCATGAAGATGTGACTCAAATCTGATTTCTTTGCTACCAGTGAATTCATTCTCTTCATTACTCTCCTAGTATCTTATTTAAAAGTTTGGTCATGTAGTCATGGCAAAGAAACAATACCATGTGAAAACAGTCAACATAGTAAACAATTCACCAAATGAACTATCGGAACTACACAGGAAAAAAATGAAGTATTGGTTATTGGTATTCACTCAAGTGCAGGGAAGGCAACTCACAAGGAGAAAAATTCTTTGCCTCTCTGATTCCTCTATTGCTTCACAGCCAGCTCTGGTGTGATCATACCCTCATTAGGTAGAGGGCCTCACCAGCAAAAGGTGAACAAGACAGATCTTTAACTCAAGGATTTAAAATCTGGTTAATGAAGAACACATATGAAAAAAAAATACCATAGTGGGTATATTGGGAACTCCTTAGTGTCTCTGAGATGACTCGTAGTGATGGTGGCAGGAAAGAAGGGATGAAAGTTGGATCAACTCCACTAAGTTCAGCAAAACTCCATTCCTAGCCTACTACAAAGCTAGCAACAACACTCATCACAGAATAATGAAGAATGTGGAAGCACTGGTAACCACAAGACAGAAGCGTAAAAAATCCAGTGTTTGGATTGGATCCAACCTGCCTGGAATAATTTGAATTTACAGAATTTCACATTACATTTTAAATGCATGTCTTTAGCCTGTGTAGCTGTGTAGTAAAAGGAGATGTTGCCTTAGCAGAAATCAGTAAGCACTGCCCTCCTGTCTGTCAGAAAGAGAGAAAAAATCTAAGAGGGACAAGAAGAAAAACTGAAAAGAGCAAAACAGGCATGTCTTGGAAAATAGTGATAGAGTTACCATTCAGTTAGAGTCTCCTGCACAATGGCAGCTTCATGGTTGTGCCCATGAAAGCAGACTGCCTTGTTTTGGAAAGGTGGTGACATTCGCTGCTTAGGTGCAATAGAGGAAAGAACAACGATGCAGCTCTGCTCTCTACATTCCCCAAGTGGAGCAGATATTCCAGGCTCTTAGCCTATTAGAAGGGTTTAGTGAGTGCATGGTACTTCCCTTTTCATTCCTGTTGCCTTATCTCCTGTCCCCAAAGGAGAAGAAAACTATTTTGGACCAAGTGAGTTTTAGATATGTGTAAATCCCAGTGATTCAGTGAATCGAATGTTCATCTTTTCGGATCTGGAGTAGACAGAGGAAATATCATAACTTATATGAGCAGACAAAAATTCTATCTTCCTAGATTAGCTAGGGACAATCTACCACATGTATTTTCTCTGTGATATGTTCTCCTTCATGCAAAGAAATATGGGTATTCTATGCATTCACTCAAAAGTTGCTATGTAGACCACACATCTGTAGGTACTGTGAATTCAACAGTTAACTGGTTTGTTATTTTGTTTTGTTTTGTGGTTATTTTTGTTGTTGTTTTTTGTTTGTTTAATTTATGGTGTGTTTTTTGTTTTGCTTTTTTTTTTGTTTGTTTGGTTTTTTGTATTTTTCTCTTCTTAAATGTGAAAATAAATGTACAGCAAGGGGAGGAGTTGGGAGACTTACTGCGTTTCAGAGGTGCAAAAAATCTGAGGAGAATCACCTTTATGGAGAGACAATGATTTTATTTTGCTCTAGTGCTTGAGGGGACTGGAGAGGAAATTCTGTAAAAGAAAAAAGAAGTCTGCTTTGAGGCTGCTTGCCTTGGAATTACTTTGGGTTGCTGCTGGGAGCGAGGAAGAGATATCCAGAGGAGGAGAAAATGGTAATAATAAACCACAGGTTCTTGTGAAGATGGGAAATTGAGTGCAAGGAAGCACAAAGTGTGCTGTACTCCTCAGGAAGGGCTACGCTGGTGTCATGCTCGCTCAACGACTTCCTAAAGCAATGAGCTGAGTTTTCACAGAGACTTGGGAAACATGTTTCTGTCTTAGGAGATAGCTGTACTACAGAGTTACACTGCTTCACTACCTGTTACTATTTCTAGGTTTCTGAAGCCAGAAAAAAACATTAATACTGAAAGTTGTTAGAAAATAATTTTAAATGATGGTATGCAGGTTTTATTGTCAGTTCTTTAAGTCTCTGGATTTAAAACATGTACCATCAGTAGTTTACACCTTTTCACTGAGAGCAGCAGCTTTTTGTTTGGCTTTTTTTGCATTCAGATTAGCTTAACATCTCTTGATTTGTTGCAAAAAAATGGCCTTTTGTAGACTTACAGGCTTACAGCCTTACAGACAGCAAACTATGGCATTTTCCACAAGCCATCCAGGACAGCATTTGTGGTTTTAAAAGATGTACCCAGAATTTCGTGTTGCCTGCATTATCCCTCAGAATAAGCACAAGCTCACTAAATTCAGGGTTAGATTTAGAAATGAGCATTTCTTATCATTCTTTATAGATTGTTTTCTCCATTGAATGCACACACCTGAAATTTCCCAGACCATAAGTTCTCCCAGGAATGGAATACCATGCTGTGCTCCCCATTTTTGGATGAGATATTGCCATATTCTATTCAAAAGGCTCATATGAATTAATTGTTTTGGAGGAAATGACTCTTCACTCCAAAGTGAGTAGAATGTATGAGAAATTGGGCTCTAGTTTCAACAAGTTTTACTAGCAGATCTGAAGAGTTTCCTTTCTATTTTTCATAAATAGTGACGTTTTCCACTACTAGGAAGATTCCCTTGTTCTGTGTTTGTGTTTAACTGCCACTTGTAAGAATTATGCAGCCACATCAGTAGGAAAATTGCAGTTCTTCAATTGTTTTCAAAAAGCATGGGAATATCTTCTCCTTATTATTATTGGTCTAAAAAGCATTAGTATTGACTTACAGATGGTCACCTATGCTGGAAGCTTATGAAAGAATCTCAAATTGTGGAAAGATTATTCTAAATTTAGGGAAACATCAACTCCCTAATGCTAAAGGTGGAGTCATGCTGCTAAACATATTAGTATTTCTTAATTCAAACACCTGTTCTGCCTGAAAGATACATAAAAAAGCTCTTATTTATTGCTTGCATCTCCATTTCAGATTTAATCTCACTATAAATTCATCTCATGTTAATTTATGTGCAAACAAAGACACACACATTTTAAATATCCGAAATGCTGGAAATAAACTTATTTTTAATTTTGTGCTTGTTTTCCATTTGTCAACCAGCAAATGAAAGGACTGAATAAATCATGCACTAATTGCCAGCGGTGCTAAATTTAGTGTGAGATCTGGAATCCTTTTGATCAAAACCGCTGAATATGAAATCGTCCTCAGCTCTCTAGGCAACTTTATCCGCCTTTCTATTCTCCATCTGTCAGTCACCTGGGAATTTGTGAACTATTCCATATGTCAGGCTTGTCAATCACAATGGAATGTGGGAACTATCTGCCTACTGCATAGGAATTCTTGTTAAAAATTAATCTGCATTAAACTAGATGTTCTATATTTTGAATACCTTATTGTTTAGTGTTGCTAAACATTTTTACCTATATAAGGCTAATGAGAAATTATATTTGACATGATTATTTGGATATGTTTTTGCAAGATTTTTTAAAATACACACAGAATTTTTTTTCACTAGTTCTGCAACACTTGGGAAATGTTGGTTTTTTCACCTATTTCACTTGTTATGAGTTTTCTCAATCAGTTGCTCAGGGTCTGGAATTTTAGATTCTTTTTCTTGGCCCAAAGGTGATTTTTTGTTTCTAAAGAGGGGCAAGGAAGTTTGTTGCAGCCACCTTTGGCTGGATAAATTTAGGGAGAGAAAAATATATTCTCTCCAATCTCCTCTAAGTTGTTCTCTAGAACTTGTTGAACAATTAAACCCAGAAAGTTTAAATGTATAAGCTACATAAACAAAAACAAAATAAGGATACGGACAGTTGATTCATAACATCTTGGTTGTTTTAGTTGTTTCTAAATTATAAGATGAGATAGCTTCTGTTTTGATTTAAAGAAATTTTATTTTAAAATTCTGTTAGCCTTCCCTGTATTTTCATAGAGAATGATTTAAATATACCTCTGTTACACTGGGGTGAGGTACAAATATATCTATTGAATCTTCTGCTATCAATAAATAACTTTGGATCACTTTTTCAATTAAAGTTGAAATCACATAATTTTAAGTGGAATTAGCTCTAGTCAATTACAAATTTCTAAAGAAAGTTAAAAGAAAAGAGCGACGTTATATAGCCTTTCCAATAAATATTCCAAAAATTTGCATTCATGTTTATGCTATTGCATTGCATGCAATTGGGTTTGGTGGGTAAGGCACACCTTGCTGGACAGCTCTTATGGTGGCTCCTTTTCTTATTCCTACCCTTTCCCCTCTGCCCTGATTCTTGCTGTAGTTTTTTTTCTGTTAGTCACCTGTTTCCAGCAGTGCAAAGATTCATGTGGGCGGGGAGCTGAAGTTCACCTGGCTTTTCTTGCATACAAAGGGGACACCCACTGAAAGTCAGCTTGGAGCAGTGGCTCCAATAGCCCACTCAGGGCCCAGGCAGCATCCTACTGCCTTTAGCTGCTGCTCTGCTACACTTACAATTAGTAATGTTCATATCCAAATCACCAAAATAACCAAGATATCATTGATAGAAATCTCAAATTGTGTACTCTTTCTCTCTTCTACTTCTGTGGCAGGAACATTGCACAACACATCATTTTTGCTTCTAATGTCCTCATTAGAAGAAAATGTAAAACTTACACATGTTTAAACCATGAAATATATACATATTTTTCTGTATGTCATTTAAAATCAGGAAAATATAAAAATAAAGTTTCTCCTTTATCTTCAATATATGGAAGAAGATAATGGAAGAAATGTTTGAAGGTTATTTAAAGGATATTTATAAGCATAACTTATATAAATTTTTAAAAAGTTATTTATCATATGAAAAGGCAGATATGTAATGAAAAATGATGTTCCTTAGACTTATAATACATTCCTTGATAACTAAGTTAGGAACAAAAAATGGTATTTCACTGCAATGAAACACAAATAGTTTCTCTTATTAACTTCTGTCTTAGTATCTGTCTCTAAAGCACATAAACATGAAATTTAAATTTTATTTTAATTCTGACTGTGTTACTATGAAGTTTCATTTTAAAAAGTTATACTGTCCCTTTACAAAATTCTCATTACTTGTATTTCATAGCCTCTCTCAGGAACTAAAGCCCAGTTTTATTCTGTCATCTGCACAGTCTAACTCTCTCTTCCTATTCTGTACTTTTTACTATTTAAATTTTGAATATTTGTACAAACAGTATTATCTTCTTTTTAGCAGTCTTCTGAACTCTGTAATGTAAGAATTTAATAAATGCTTTTGTAAAAATTTAAGTGCTTTTTAACTATGTCAGCAATTTAACTAATTTCTTCCTCCATGGCTGTTAAAAGTATCATATTGCAATAAAGGTGCAATAGATAAAAGTATTAAAAATAATAAACCAGCACACATATGGTACATAACAACACATATATACATAAGAAGACATATAACACCTATATACATAACATTGTAAACACATGTAGTGCAATTGAACACCATGTGCTACAGACCAAGCTCAAAGGAAAAGAGTCTGCAGGAACAAGGTTTGGTTCCAAATCCCTCTTCCACCTTGAAAGTTATTCAGTTTTTCCCTAAGCTTTAATTTTTCCCCCTTTTAATGAGATTGAAACTCAGGAAAGAACTTTGCCTCTAATCCCATGACTACTTGCATTTTTATTACAACTTTTCAGTTAGGACTCTACTTCAAGGCTTTCTGGAGAAAGAGACACATTGTGTTGCTTGGATAAAAGTATTGTACTACGGTGGCTTCTACAAAGAATCTCTCTAGTCTGGAGGGAAATTATTTTTCCTTTCAGAGTCCAAGAACTTTTGTGTGTATCAAACTGTAGCTATCTCAAAAAATTGTCACTCCACCTATGCATTACCTTCATGACTTATTTTTATGTTGTCTTGAAAAGAGGCTGGATGAGTCAGTGGATGTCCCCACCAGACACTGATTCTGCTGCTTTTCAAGGGAAAATTAGCAAAAGCAGTTGTACCTTGTATTGACTAACCATTATTAGATGGTAAAAACAACATGTGCATGCCTTCACCTCTAAATGCTAATGATTTGAGGCAGAACTAAAAAGGAAAATTAGGAATAAAAGAGAAAGCTAAAGCTGAGTGTCACCAGCTCATACAGGCAAAAAAGCATAATGTTCTACGTGACTCAACAGTTGACCTGTTTTTAACTATACCAAACCTGTTGGCTGTGCAGGTAGGCACTGCAATTTTCTGTCTCCAAGCCTCATGCATAACTCTACATCAGTCTTCAAGACAACTGGCAGAGCCTGGAGACAAGGCTCAAAAACACCCCAGGCTCACGCCAGCTGTCAAACATATTTTGAAACATAAACTTTTCTGACATAGGAATTCCTTCCCTGATTTTTATCCTATTAATTTTCCAACAGAAAAGTAAAAAAAACAAATTCCAAAATGATTTTCAAAAGTTTGCTTTCAATTGCTAAATAATTCCAGCTCTTCAAGCTATACTTTGCTTTGAGGACTGTTCTCCCAGGAATATCAGACAGCTCCCAAACACTGAGGAAGATGACCTGCTCCTCACCTTGATGTCATCTGCTTCTTCACAGTCTACAGTGATGTGATTGTCCTTCTCTGACATCATTGCTCTGTCCCAGTGAGCTGGATCAGGAACCAGGCTGAAGAGTCAATCACCAAATAAATTTATTAAGCATTTAAAAATGTTTATATGTTAGCATATTAAAAATAAATATCCAAAAATTAACAGAACCATTCTATGCTGTCTTGAAGTTTCAACTTGATATATGCATTTGCGTATATTTCATAGATATACATGTTTATTATTATCTGTGCTTGTATATGTATCTGTACCTATATCTTTGTATACACACATATTCTGTCACAGGTTATTTTTTTTCAATTGCAACACATGTGTTATAGAGCTGCTTTCAATGTTTTTCACTCAGATACTCCAAATGTGTAAGAGGGTAAGCATGCAAAAAAAAAAATGAACAGCATAGAGCTGGGCAAAGGCAGTTGTTCCTTTTTAAGTTAGTGTAGTGCTGTGACCATGCCAAAAAATTATAGAAAAGTAACACAAGCTGCAGGGGGAATAAAGGAGAGATCCAAGTTTCAGCAACTTCCTGCCTTAGAGTGCTGCCCTAGAGTGCTAAACCTAGCATAGTTTTGTCTTGACTCTTAATTGCAAGACTGTAAGTTTGGTGAGGGAAGACTTAATGATGAGAAAGAAATAATGTTTACTGTTTTGAGAGACACCATGAGTTCTAGAGAATCTATTTAGGAAAGATAGCAAGAAAAAAGAGAAGCATAAAAGTGCTACATCTGATTTTAGCAAGTTTTTCTTCCTGTTCCATACAGCAGAAAATCTTCTGTGATGGCTGTATTTCCATGTCTGCATGCTTTAGGTGTAGCAAATTATCCATGAAACTGCTGATTTACTATGAATTAAGAGAAAAGCAGATTTATGACAGTACAGCTGTTAATATATTTCCCTTTTATTGTGATTAGCCAAGACAAATAATGTTTCAAAAAGAGAGGAAATTATCTATCTCTAGAAAATGAGACATGTCCTTAATAGAAAGATAACCCACCTTTTGAAGTTTATATGCAAGAATATAATGTCCTTCATATGAAATTTTCCCTACTCTCATTAAAAACAAAAAAAGTAATTCTGTGCTGCAAAAAAGCATGTTATCTATATTGAAGCCACAGAGGCTATCCAGCCATTTTATCAGGATATTGGGATGCTAAAGGAAGTCAATTAATGAAGTGTTGCATTTTCTTTCTTCCTTTTTTTTTTTTTCTTTCTTGTCTTGCCTTTGCTTATTAGAAAAACTGGAAATAATAATAATAAACACACACACACACACACACACACTCCCCCCTACATAAGTTATTGATATATCTTTTGCTGATTTGTAATCTCACTGTGTACTGCAACTTTAAGAGAATGTAATCATTTTACCTGTGGCCACCAATATTTTTTTTTTATTTTTAGGGGAGGCATGGACATGCACAAACACATCTACACTCACACAAAATGGTCAATATTAAAAGCATTGGTTAACATTAAAAAGCATTAAAAAGCACTGGTTAACATTACCAAAATGTTAACCAGTAAAATGTAAATTCTGAGTATCAGGGAAAATCATGCTTAGTCTTGATTTTGTTTTGGTGACCCATATATTTCAAAACATACCAGTAATAAATTTTTAAGCCGCATCTTTTTTCCCCACTTTTCTTTAAGTCATCTAAGGATGACTTAAGCCTTGTGCTGTTGCCTAGCATAAATCTCTTCCTGCTTCTTCCCCTGATTTCCAGCAATGAGTAAGTATCACTTCAGTTTCTGGCTGATCACAGCTGATTGGCATCCAGGACAGAAGGGTCTCTTCCAGAGACCACATGAAGATACACTTCAATATGAAAGTTCAGCAATCATACTGAGCTTTCTTACTATCAGCCATCTTCAAATAAAAATTAGAAGGTGCTTGGCCTGCTTCTTTCATTGCTCTTGCCTTCCACTTGAGACTGCAGCTTGTGACCTCACTGGCGTGGAGATTTTTGGACAACTACTCATCAGCCCTCAGCCCAATTCCAGAGACACTCCTTTCTCTTCATAAACAGTAACAGGCTTAAGAAATTATCTGAACAGCTCTTGCCTTCTTCACCTGTAAAGGGTGGACTGGCACATATTACATCATTTGCAATAAGATGTGGCTCTTCCTCTGTAAATCAGCTGAAAAAGGAGCTTCACTGTCAAGAAAATATCCAGGCTTGAATCTGACTTATGACTGTTTTTATTTATTTATTTATCTGTTTTGGGGGAGGTTATCTTGTGTTGTTTTGGTTGGGCTTTTTTTTTTTTTTTTTTGAACAGTGGAAGAACACTAAAGCAGTACTTTGAAAAATGTTACAAGGTATAAATAGCACTGCTGAGAGCAGAACACAGGCTTTGTTGTGTTATCACACAGCAGATCCAACAATATACTACAGATCCATATTGTCAACTGAAATGGAAAAGGAAAACAGTTCAACAAGAATGCTTCTTAGGAAAACTACCCAATTTATTCGTGTGTGTCTCAAGGCCAAAGCATCTTATCTTTGCACAAATCATTCTTCTGTAGTGAGTAACAGCAATACTTCAAGTGGTTTTCTGTTGTGTGTCATAACAGGCTTTCTATTGATGTTGCTAAAAAAAAAGTCAGTACCATGATTTTAAACTAGAAAGTGGTACACAGATTTATTCTAGAAGAAAAAAACTTGTATAGTAGATATTTTAGCAGTATTAAGCTCACAGAACCTGCACAAATATTTGTTTTCCATATTAGCAATAAAGTTTTTATTCTTTTATTTTAAACTGTAAGGTTGAACCTTTTACTGCACTCTTTGTTAGTTTGGGGGATTTTTTTGACTTTTGAGTTTAATTTTATCAGTTTGAGAGCAAATCTTCCTACATCAATGGAAGAAAAGTATTTAGCCAGTAGTAATCACTTTTTATTGTGCAATCATTACTCAGTTACTCTAGTCAATGCACAGATATTGGCTCAAGTATACAAGACCAATTAAAATAGGAACACTGGCAAGAAAACATAATAATACTTCCTTCAATTTATTAGTTACGGTAAATGGCTTATAACAAACCAAAAAGCCAGTAACATTCTCAGATAGATCCATTGCTTCTGTACTGTTGATAATTAAGTCTTTTGGTGGGAATTTGTTCGTAGGACTGATATACAATTAGACAAATTTGTTCACATATCATGTTTCATTGAAGTCTGTATGAGTCTTCTATGCTTGGCAATGGGTCCTGATCCTAGATGCTTTTATGCCTGATTAATTGTCAATATTAGGCAGGAGTTTGCTCATTAGCTCCTAGCAGGGCACAGCTCAAATTGCAGTAAGCTCCATTTAGAGATGATATGCTAACTGTTAATAAACTGCATGGATTGCATGTGTCTGTGAATCTCAGCTGACTATATGTGTATACATATACTCATACTCATATATTATGCATGAATACACACACACAAACATGTGCATACATATATGTGTGTGTGTGTATATATATCTATCTATACAAGTCAGCTCCATGGAGGAAAGGAATAAATACAAATTACTCCCCTGTATACAAGTTGTGGCTGCAAGTGCTGCTAACTTATTCAGGGCTCCCTAGTGAATAAAAACATCCCAACATAAATTTACTGTGTATTATTCATGCTACATTTTAAGTTTTCAATCTGTCATGTCAACTGCTTTAAATCATATCTAAACCAATGTGCTAAACAGACATCACTTTTAAACAAAAGGAAGTAAATTAAAGAACATCTTTCTGTACAACAGACATTTGTTTTGTACATTCATTTTCTGAGAACTTCATTTCTCGCTCAAGAGAGATAGAAGGTTGACAGAGAACTAACTGATAATGCAAACTATTTTTTTCCAGATCAATTTTACCTCCTTACTAGTAATACTGCTGTGCTCAACAATTCAGCCTCAATGATAAAATCTGACTGTTCCCAAATCATAAAGCACTTATCATGTCTAAAGTAAATATGCTTTATTAACATAATTGTTTCTTCTCCTAATTTTTAAAACCCTCCCGTCAGCCAAAGATGAAGTTTTTATGACAGTATTAGTAAAAGACCTTGTCCATGAGGCTCACAGGAACCAACAGGAAGTTACAAAAATTAATCAGCAAACTTCCCATCGTAAAAGATGTGTGTTGAGCATGAGCACTAAAGAAACAGTAAAAAAAAACCCCAAAAAACCCCAAACAACCAAACAAAAAAAAACCCACAAAAACAAAAACAAAAACAAAAAAAAACCCAAAAAAAACCCTGCCAAAACAAACATGGCCTATTTCAGCTTTGGATGTGAAGAAACAAAGGTGTAGAAGTAGTAGTAAGGGCTAGTATTTAGGTATAAAACCATGAACAAAAGCAGTGATCTAGCTGGTTTTATTCTTCAATGAAACAATGCTGCCTCCACATTCTCTGGAGCTGTAACTACATTTCAGAGATGACAATGAGATACTTTCATCAGGACATCTTCTCTCTTCACAGTACCAACTGCAAGTTGTTACTCACAGTGCTCAAAAGTGAGAAAGGGTTGTTTGTGTGTTTTTTCATGCAATCTCACTAAGAACCGAAGATTACCAAGTTGAATGAATACAACACATAAACCTTGGGTTAACCAAAAAAAGACTACAGAAATATGAATATAAATAGCTATGCAGATCTCTCTTGGAAAGTACATGAAAATACAGAAAAAAAAAAAGTGAAGAAATGGCCTTTCAGAATACTCAGCACAGACCAAATTTTGCTTTGATTAGTTTTTACAGTATTTGTCAGATATAATATTCCAGTATCAACAATAAAGGGTATTGACTCACATTTCAGTAACTTCAGTTTATAAACCCGAAACTATCTTGATAATAGCATCAGGAGTTGAACATTTAAAGGTCTATAAACAGTTCTCACATGCTAACACAAGATCAAACATGTTTTGAATATGGTTCTGTCAAACAGAGGCCACTAGTAAGTTACTCAGACATCTCCTAAAGCAAGCAACTGCAGCAGATTGGCAGAGCTCACCAAACTTGTAAAGTAAAGTGCCATGGTTTATCTGACACTGAAGCAGTTAAAATGTCATTTTTCAA